CTCATGAACTTAGCTTCTTATTAAAGGGTTGTGTTTTAAACTCAATCTAACTAACCCTAGAACCTGTAGTAGAAAAATAGGTTAAGCCTTGGGTTACAGGATCACTATACACCTTTAATAAACAAACTTCTGAGAAAATAAATATAGATAAATATCAATAAATACAATATGACTGATTTGTGTGAACTGATATATGAAACTACTAATTATTAAAGCTGATATCAATTTCTCATTTATAGTTAAGAGATGAAACAAAATGCATATATGATATATAACTTTTTTCACTGATTTACAACTCCTGCAATGATTTGTGGGGGGAGATAAGCATAATGAGTTACGTGCCCAAATAGTCGGATGCGGTGTGAGTTGTAGATTTGTATGTCTATTTCTTTTACAGCAAGCAAGGCCACTTGGAACTGTATTCCAGTTATACATGGTGTGTCAGCTTCAGAAAGCCCAAAATGATGTATGTCTCCGATATTTTCTACTTTGGTAAAACTCACGCACAGGTTTATGGTGCTGAGAGACCTAGACAGAAAATCTGGGTGAACTGGGGCTCGAACTCCATCCATAGGATTCAGGCATGCCCTAGGGACACAATACCGCACAAGGAGTGAGAGAGTTTAGTTTTACGCCGCTTTAAGCAATATTCCAGCAATATCAGGGCAGGAACACCAAAAATGTGCTTCACACACTGTACCCATGTGGGGAATCGAACCCGGGTCTTCGGTGTGACGCGAGAAGTAGGCAGTGCATGGCACTGAGCAAACACATTTCGTTTGTGAAAGGTAGAGCAGATGTAGGATAGTGCACGTGCATTGCATGGAGATGAAATTTATTACGCGCGCAGCTGCACATGCCTTGCGCCTGTGCTTCATCCATCGCACTACACTTAATCATGGACAACCTGGGTCCCCATCGCTAACAACGACTAGCGCCAGTGGGCAGCACCATACATGCTGATACGGGTCAACTGTCAGGTTGGTGCTCAACTTATCCTTGTTTGCCAGTAGTGAGTACGAATATGATGCTGGCAAAACCTAGAAACATAACTTCGGCAAACACAAGAACTCAAGTTCTCTCAGATGGACTGGAGAACATAGCCAGGAACAGATCACAGAATAAATGTTGGACTGATTGACCGGGTAGAACATTGCCAGGAACAGATCACAGAATAAATGTTGGACTGATTGACCGTGTAGAACATTGCCAGGAACAGATCACAGAATAAATGTTGGACTGATTGACCGGGTATTTGTATAACTGGACATTCCAGTTTCAAGTGGCACTAAATTAATGTCTTACCTCAAAATTTTCTTTAAGTGTCTGAAACTTTGAACCAATGTATTTCATATCCACATTTGGACTAAGCACATATTCCTTACGATGAGAGTCATTCTGATTACGACCTCTTGTGAAACAGTCAGTCAAACAATTTTCAACTTTAACACATTCTGATGAACATATTTTTAACAAATGTGACCTTTGCCATTTTATACATCGCCTTCCCTGATTTCCTTCTATGAACATTTATGATGCAAAATATACAGTTCAGAGTATTTCTTGATACAAGCACAAGCACTGTAAAAATACATGTCATTAATATGTCATTTTCTTGGCATGCATAGACTGACAACATCTTATCAAAGAAAATCACACATCACACAAGTGTTTGTACAATGTTTGTAAACCACAAACATCTGTCATTCCAATAAAAAATGTAAAATATCTATCACAGACTTATGGCAGACAGACTAGGAGGGAAATAAAAAAATACTGAATCATTTACAATATCACATCTACAGCAATTGAAGATTGAAAAACATTGTCATTTTCTTTCGGTATACTCTTTATTAGGAGTTCCACATAGAACAACATGGCTGCCTGTTTCCATGGCAATAGCATCCAGTGTTCTAACACATGTGAATATTTTGGTTACAAAGTCACTTAGACTTACCTATCACACAAATAGGTTCATTTTATGAGAAAACAATTTGAAAATTTTAATATAAATTGTATATTTATATACTTATCCTATCTCACGATTTGCACTTCTCTCTCTTGCTTCAACGCTGAGTGGAACGAATGAGAACTTTTCCTGTAGGCCTCTCTTGTCCATACGCCAATATTCCCAAGGCTGGTCTTCTTATAGGACAGGTCCCTAGTCCCAGGCTAAGTGTGCAGCACATTCCCCTGTCTACCCACGTGACTACCTCAGAGTGATCATTCTCTTCTTGGAGCCAATGACAGTTATACGTAACTGTCGTAATCTGAGTAGAGGGGAGGCTGGGTGGGCATCCATCTTGTGAGATAGGATAAGTACATAAATATACAATTTATATTAAAATTTTCAAATGTTTAAACTTATCCTATCTCAAGAGTTGCACTTATCCCACAGTTGGATGGCTAACCGATTCGGTGTGGTGAATCGGTTCGGCGATTTGACGATGTAGATCGGCTGTGTGAGTCAGCTGGCAACACAGAGCGGTTTGATGAGGCGGAACGATGAGTAGACATCTGATGATGCACCAATAAAATCATCACCGTCCAACATGGGCATCTCCGGACGACAAGCAGTTAATACTGGTCGTTGAAAGCGGGGGTTTGTCGGGTGATCAACTGTTGAAGTTAACGAGTTCTGTCTGCCAGCCAACGGGAGCAAGCATGTCTATATGCTCAAAAAACGTCCTTGATACGGGAGCACATTCCCGACAACGTTTGCTCCAGGAACACAGGTCAATACAACCCACACATGACGAGTGGGATCCGAGGAAGTAAATATTGTTACAGTGTACGCAACATTACGCTACTTAGGGTCAACTACCCATGATATATTTCTCATGTTAACTTGTAAGGAAAGCTGAGAACTCTCACAATACGTCCACACAGTGGTGCGACAAGAAGAAGAATGATCACTCTGAGGTAGTCACGTGGGTAGACAGGGGAACATGCTGCACGCTTAGCCTGGGACTAGGGACCTGTCCTATAAGGAGAGCCTGGGGAACACGGGCGTATGGACAAGAGAGGCTTACAGCAAAAGTTCTCATTCGTTCCACTCAGCGTCGAAGCAAGAGAGAGAAGTGCACATCGTGAGATAGGAGAAGTTTAAAAATGTACAACTTGAATTTTTTCTTACATCCCTGAACTACCAGGTTTGAAAATTTTTAAAAACATTCTGGCTAAACATTATCGATAAGGCACAGGTTGAAAGTAGAGAGTAGACATTGCAACTGATGAAGTGGAAGTCAATTTACGGTTTACTAGGAAAGTTTAAAAAACTCATGGTCACTCAAAGAAATTGATGAAAAATTATGGAAATGATTTTAAAAACTAATCATTTTTAACTGGTGAGATTGAATATAAGGCTGTGTATTGAGTGAATACCATTAATATTTTTATGTGATCTTAGACAAATCATCATCTCAAGACCAATTCTAGGATTGGTCCTTGAGGACCAATTTATACCATATCTTCATGATGGACAAGCTTTGGTTCTCTGAAGACCAATTTTACCCTGATCTTCAGGACTGATAAGCATTGGTTCTCGAAGACCAGTCCTATTCCAGATCTTCATGACGGACAAGCTATTTTGAGAGACAGGAGGGACAGGAATTAGTGCTTGAAACCAATTCTTTCCCAGATGTTCATGATGGACAACCTTTGGTGCTTGAAGACCAACTATATTCTTCTGAATTTGTCCCAAATGTCATTACATATCTCTAGGATGTGTTAAATTTTCAACACAAGTGCTTCTGTGTGTGGTCAGAGTTTCCTAAACAGTTTCTAATATAACTAAAACTTGACACAATGAGAATTTACCGATAATTGTGATTTATCTAATTCACTAAGTGTAAAATAAACATATAGAAGCAACTTTACCAATACCTGTCACAAGTATTACCTACATGCTCAGCTGGCATACACAAAAGGTCAAAGCAATAGCATTAAATTTCTTCTGAAGCTTAATTTTTAGATGTTCAAACAATTGTGCTGGTGTAAAAAGGTTAATTTCATGCTTTGTGGACTTCTACCAGTGCCGAGTGCAGTGTGTAGCATCAGTGATGGTTTAAGTCTGATTTCAAGAATACAGAACAAACTTTATGGATAACAACTTCTTTTTATTACAAAAAGAGCCTTACACATAGCAATCATTTGAGAATAGAACTCATTTCTAGTGTAACAAGCAACAACTGTTACCACTGGACTAGAATCTTTGTTGTAAATTTGGTTTATGTATCTGCAAACTTTGAAAAGGAACTGGGAAAAAGTCTAAATGGAAACCTGTGGTTTGTTCCTCTGAAATATGTAAAATGTTTAAAACAAACACTCATTTACTGTCAAAGATTACTTAACATGCATCTCAAGAATCTAATTTCCAAATTTATAAACACAATTATGTGTGAGAAAAAATATCAAAAATGTCTGAAAATGGAAATTTTCTACATGTATTTTTTCAATCTGATGATTTAAATGGGTCCCAAATCCACAAAACTAATAAACAATCTGACCAAATGATTACCTGTTATGAGAGACTTCAAATCAAACCTTTAATAATCAGTCATTTCTCTTTCATAAAAAACTATCATCATCTGATACAAAAACACTGAAAATATAATGTCTATACATTTGTCAGGAAGCCATCAATTTGCATGAAAATAAATAATTAAAAATAATCCAGCATCTATGAGACATCAATATGTCAAAGGACGAGGCAGGATAAGAGCCCTCTTTGGACCATGGGACATACATCATTTAAAAATGGAGAAATCTTTAAAATAGTTAGGACAGACCAATTTTATTTCTTGTTTTACTGATCTGCCTGCCGTACATTTTCAAGAATAAGAAAAAAAATTAAAAACGAATTTTGCCCGCTCAAAAAATAAAATTCTAATGCTTTTATTCCTTAAAAATGTAAACTTACATAATTCTTTTTATTGTTTTTTTTCCCATATACACTTCATAAATTGCCAAAAGTAAAATACTTTTAGTATTTCAAAGGAATATTACTTTGACTGGTAATTATTTTTTTTTTGTTATTTCCTCCTGCCTTTAGGTTTTCTGAGGACAGAAATCAGTAAAACAAGAAATAAAACTGGACTGGCCTTATGAAAGTACTCACATTTTCCTATGAGAATTAAACTGTATTTGTTCAACAACTGAAACTCAATGACAGTGAATGCAAAGTTCAGGCCAAAATAAAGGCTGAATTTAAAAATTGTCAGGGAGCATTTTGTTAGTTCAACATGAGAAAGTCTGACACAAGCTGTTTCCTCATTAAATGTTAAAAAAACATCCTGCATCAGAGTATTGGTCGTACGTAGATTTCACAAATTCGGAAATCAAGCTTTCCCCAATTTTAGCAATATTTGACCTTGACCAGGTTAAACCTCATGAAACAGCAGGAAAGTGAGTGAGTTTACTTTTACGCCGCACTCAGCAATATTCAAGCTATATGGCGGCGGTCTGTAAATAATCGAAGTCTGGACCAGACAATCCAGTGATCAACAGCATGAGCATCGATCTGCGCAGTTGGGAACCGATGACATGTGTCAACCAAGTCAGCAAAACTGACCACCTGATCCCGTTTGTCGCCATTTACGACCAGCATGGGAACTGCAGGAATGATATAAGCAGGTAGCAGACATTTGAACATGTTGTCTTCATAGCAATAATCAGTTTTCAAAACTTTAAACACTGACACTGGCCGAAAGAGGGCCCAAATTATCCTGTCTTGTCACGTATGCGTTACAATAAAATCAACAAGCAGTGACTACATGTACTTAATGACATCAGCTGTAAGCGAAAACAATAAACAAACAACGAATGGACGGAATCCAAGTAAACAGGTAGAGACTTACGTAAATGTAGTACATATATAACCTGTATGCAAAACTATGTATACAAAATGTAGAGGTTATATACACAATATTCAATACCTGGTTGTTACAACAACTCTATATCACATGAGAAAATGGACGGATGGCATCGTTTGATTTCCCTCTGAACCCACACAACCCCACTCCAGGAAATACTGTCATCTACTGTTGATAGTCCTTATAATCTACAATGGATAGTTGCTATCATCTGCCACTGATACTCATTATCATTTACAGTGGAATGTCAATACATGTACCATAAACAGCGGATAGTCGATATCTACAGCAGATAGTCGATATCATCATTAGTGAATTGTCGATACCTACAGTGGATAGTCGATATCAACAACACCATATAGTCGCTATCTACAGTGGATAGTCGCTATCTACGGAGGATAGTCGATATCATTAACACCATATAGTCGCTATCTACTGTGGATAGTTGCTATCTACTGTGGAGAGTCGCTATCTATGGAGGTTAGTTAATATCATCAACAGCAGATAGTCAATATCTACAGAGGACAGTCCATATCAACAGAAGATAGTCGACTTCTACAGTGGATAGTCGATAGCAGCTACCGTTGATAGTCGATATATCATCAGCCTTTCAATATTTTGTTATTGATTGAAATATTCACAAATCTTCTGTATTGAAAAACAGCATAGTGACCTATTATTGCCGAATGCACCAATTCTCAAGTCATGTTATCAAATTTTTGTGCCTTTCTGGGCTGAACTTATATGCCCAAACAAGTACATGTTCAATACTCCTGCTTGTTTCCAGACAACAAGTTTCCACAGTAGATTAAAATGATACTTCCCTGACAAATACTTTTAATATTTGTCAATGATGAGGTGTTCATGCATAACAAACAAATAAATAAATAAAAACAGATACTGAACAATATTTGTGGAATACTTCCCCACAAACAATCAATTCTTGGTCATGTAACTAAGAATGCTTCAAAGCCAAGTCATATTCTGTTGAAACACAAAGACATGCTACACCCCATCATGACCCCAAACAAGGCATTAACTTCAGGAGATCCTTTGATCCTTGAGGTTTTCTGATGAAGTATTTTCAATCTATGGTCGACCAAAATATTCAAGTTTTAACATAATGGTTATGACAAGGTCCTGTTAGCATTCATATATAATTTTGGACAGTCTGTGACCTCCATAATCTGAAGAGAATATCAGCGCATATATCGTTTTTAACTGTTTGAATCTGATCTTGAGGTCGGAGGTCGTGGAGTGCGGCGGGATACGGAACTACGTGTGTTGGAGTTGCGAGAAGTCCGCCCGGATACGCCGGCACTACTTCTCCCTCTGATCGGCAATGGTGGTTTAGCACTGGTAGGCATCATCCGAGCTGAACTGTGGCCGTCCTGGAAACAAACATGACCAAATAATCAGCGTATGTGAAACAGCACACTGGCACATCATCTGCCGCAGCCTTGTTTGTCAAGGTGATCTTAGTGCTACATTATTGTCACTAACTCCATTACATAAACACAGTCAATAGATAGATTTCTTATCACCTGTATCTCAACATAGACTGATATGCTCACTCACTAACTTCATCTTAACACAGACTTAATGTTCACTGATGCCATCTCAACATAGATTAATAATATACTCAGTAACCCAATCTTAGCATAGACTTATGATAGTTTAACTAACTACCATACCTTAACATACACTTGTGATAGTCTTACTTACACCCATATCTTAACACAGACGTATGATCCTATGATCTTATCACTGCATGTTAACCTAGACTAGATAGTTTTACTAACTTCAATTCCTTAACACAGACGCATGATCTTATGATCCTCTCACTGCATCTTAACCTAGATTAGATGTTTTACTAACAAACCATTTGTTAACACAGACTTATGATGTTCAAATGAGCTCCAGTACCTACAGGTCATATAGACAGTCAAAGCACTAAGATCGCTTTATAGAACAAGGCCTACACAAGCTAATTCCAATCTTATTTGTTCCCAGTTCAATACATATTGACATACACAGTCCAGCCATATTGTAATGTTTTCCCTAACATCCAGCTGAATACCTGTCCAGTCACTACAGAACACAAGGCGATAAAACATATCTATGTACATAGAGATATTTACAATTAATATAACACTTCCCAACATTTGCCCTTTTATGTCATGCTACCTTAGACTGACTGACTGAGTTTGGTTTTACGCCACTTTTAGCAATATTCCAGCAACATCACGGAAGGGACACCAGGAATGGGCTTCACACATTGTACCCATGTGGGGATTCGAACCCGGGTCTTCGGCATGACGAGCCAACGCTTTAACCATTAGGCTACCCCCCTGCTACCTTAGAAAACACTAAGTATCAACATCACTACCCCCAGAAGAGACTGAGTGGATATTGTTTAATGTTACAGCTAGCAATATTACGAATAAATCACAACAATGAACAATGGGTAAAAGCGTGTTTCAGTGTTTTTGTGTCTAAGGTATGAACAAAATCTGAATCTCATTTTTGCAAAACAAAACAAAACACACATGGAAGAAGAATGTTACTTGAACAAGTCTTAGAGTTTGATTCAAATTCTGAAATGTTTTAGAAAAGGAATGAGAGAAATTTACATCTGCAGATCTGTGAACCACGTACAAACAAGTACATTCCCTCTGTCAGTAGTTAGTGAGTGAGTGAGTTACCCTGTTTTTGAACTGTCAGACTTTACCTGTCACATAGCAGTTTTTTTGTTTTAAACATATTTTATTCATTCAAGAAAAGGATTGGGCACAAGTTATCCAACTTAGAAAAGCCCTCTTAGCAGTAACCTTTCCCAGATTACAATTCGTATTTTGCCACACCTGATCTGACAATCAAACCCTGATGATAACAATCACCCACAGAGCAACAGTGCCATGTGATAGAAAACTCAATTTGTAATTATATTGCTAAGTTTCTGTCAACAGACACATCTAAGTGTCTCCATTGATGAGATGAAATATTATCAAAGGACTTCATACAAAACACGTTCACAGTTAAATGAGTGAGTGAGTTTAGTTTTACACCGCGACTCAGCAATATTCCAGCTAAATAATCGAGTCTGGACCAGACAATTCAGTGATCAACAGCATGAGCTTCCATCTAGGCAATTGGGATACTGTGAGTGAGTGAGTGAGTGAGTGAGTAAGCCGCTTTTAGCAATATTCCAGCAACATCACGGCGGGGACACCAGAAATGGGCTTCACACATTGTACCCATGTGGGGATTCGAACCCGGGTCTTCGGCCTGATGAGCGAACGCTTTAACCACTAGGCTACCCCACCCAATTGGGATACAATAACATGTGTTAACCAAGTCAGCAAGTCTGACCACCTGATCCCATTAGCTGCCTGGGTCAAACTCGAGTCCAATTCCGGATTCAAACCCATGATTATCGGATCCTGTTGCGAGCAAAGAGCCTAAAACCACAGACCAATGGGCCACCCCTTCACCTTGACATGAAGTAATGAGGGCAGCAATCTCCACAGGACAACACATTCACTGGGACTCTAACAACCACATAGCACTCCTCCAATGTCCATTTCTGGATATTAAAGAATGGTTAGTTTGAATAAATGTCACATTGAGCACCACTTCCTTTCATGTTGCTATAGTAACAGTCAGTGAGGAAGGATCGTCTGAAGCAGGTTATCATTAGTTGCACAACCAACCACCATTTTATATGCAATGTTACACTGAACGCTGAAGCTATCAACAGGCAGATCCAGAAATGGAAATGGGATGCACACTGTATACAAAGATGAACAAAAACACACACAGGTTGGTAAATTTCTGAAAATAAAGGAGACCCTCAATACCAGGAAGCCATTCTCAGGATCCATTGGTGCCGAAGTTACACAAACAATAAACAGACAAGCCTTATTTAGACAATCCAGATTAAAACCTTTTCACAACACACAATGACACTGCTATGATTTGATTGTTTTCAGTTTGCATCTGGTTAAATCAAAGATTCAGCCATATGGCCATATAGATAGTGATGTAAACTGATATAAACTAATAAACAATTATTTGGATTTGTCATCCCAATGTCCTCTCACTAACGAAAAATATCATATTTCTGTCCACAAGAGCCTAATTATAGAGAACTTCACTGAGCGTGTGCCGGTTTTAAATATATGAACACCAAGCCTTTAAATGGCATTAAGAAGTGATGCACGTAAGGAAGAGAATTTTATGGATTTCAACTTCTTCATAATGAGGAACACCATGTTTTGGAGTATATCCTTACTTTATTCAGCGCTAATTAACTGTTAAGTGTTGGCTTCCATTCGTCATTTGTCAATCACACATTAACGCGAGTTAACTGATGATTTCCATTGTTTAGACTGCATCTTTGTTGTCTTATTACTGTTGTTGTTCTTACATGTACATATATATATATGTACCCATGAAGGTCCGGGTTAGAATATTGATCTTCAGTAACCCATGCTGGTCGTAAGAGGTGACTAACGAGATCGGGTGGTCAGGCTCGCTGACTTGGTTGACGCATGTCATCGGTTCCCAATCGCGCAGATCAATGCTCATGCTGTTGATCACTGGATTGTCTGGTCCAGACTCGATTATTTACCGACCGCCGCCATATAGCTGGAATATTGTTGAGTGCGGCGTAAAACTAAACTCACTCACTCACATATATATGCTGTCTGTCTCACAGCATTCATTCACCTGATCAAGGAGTAAGGATATACTCCAAAACGTTGTGTTCCTCACAATAAAGAAGTTGACATCCACAAAACTCTCTTCCTTATATGAACACAAAGTCAATATGTTTCATATCAAAAGACATTTCAGTGAGATTCTATTTAACATCCACTTTCAACACTCGTCAAAAAAAAGTTTAAAACTCCCAAGCAAATCTTGAGATATTAACTTTCATTGATTTGTGTTGACAAATTTGATATCGACAGACAATCAGAGTGCCATACATGACACATGATCCATATTCTTAACACAAATTAATAGCATCTAGTTCTTAAAAATACTTGTGTAACTATCTTCTCAAAAATTATGACTGCTGCTGCTTTTTCAGTCATTGTTTGTAATGTAGGTGAAAATTTGATGAACATGCACATAATTTCAATAGACAAAATCTAACACTCTCCAGTATTGGAGTATAAGCACATGCTACACATACACTAGGTTTCCATGACAACTAAATGTGTACGCTACCAACAACTATACATGTATACAATGTAGAGACATCATGTGCTGTGTGCATCACGAATACACATCTACTTGAGATATCTCTGTATGCATAAAGAGAAAAAGTAATAACAACAGTGCCATGGCACAATAGCTCACCTGATCATGCGGTCAACAGTTTAAAATTGCAAACTACTTTAAGAAAGTTAAAGCTTTGAAATTAAGAACAAACATCATAAAAGTTTGAAAAAATATAAATGCATTTGTTTTCAAGATAAAAAGAAAACAGAAGGCTATTATATTGCATTTTCAAGTGAAATAAAGATTGTGATCCAAAAGCAGGGGGCATATTTTAAATATTGCACACAAAATATCAGAAAACATGTTGACTTCGACCACAAAACAAATCCTAAATTACATTACAATCTCAACAAAATTGGCCGACTAATAGAAGTCTAGGTTTTCAATATGGCTGTCCTGGTGGCCATATTGAAAAATGACTATGAACCTTTGGAAATTCTGGGGTGTAATTACTGGTTTAGTGAGCAAGCATGTTAAGTTTCAGTTTCATTGGTGCAGTGGTTTCTAAGGAGAAGAGTTTATACAGGACCCTCCCCAACTGACATCTGACCCTGGACAAACACACAAGCCAAGGTAAATGCTCACATGACTTGCAGTCAGGTGACCTCACAAAAACCTACAACACTTATGTGCAAATATGAAACAATTTCAAATGACCTCTAAATAAAACAGATAAGACGAACATGAATATGTTTATGCAGTCAGAAACTACAAAGTGATATCAAAATATTAGCTGGTTGCATTGGGTGTTTCTAGTTAGGAAATAAGCTGTGTATGATTAAAAAGAAATAAAAAAAAATATAAAATGATGGTGAGATTTTCTCTCAAAGACCCTAAAAATATTATGCCATACAGATTTAAGAAATTCTGAGAGCAGTTATTCAGTACTGAAATTGATCATGTAGAATAATGTTGTTTAACGTTACGTTTTACATACCAGCAACATGCATGCATGAGCATTGTATGCACATGTGTGCAGCTGCTTGTAGTTGTCTAAACTTCTGAGGGTTTCATAGCGCTAGCCTCTTGAGATATCATGCCACAGCTGAACATGGATACCCTTCTCAGACACAGTGTAGTGACTCCAAGCCGACCAGACCTTATTTTGAATACCCTCAGCACTAAGCAACAGGCAGTTTTATGATGGCATAAGCTTCAAATGACAAAATGGGAAACATGCCTACCATCTTGGCAAAAATGAAAAGTTTTCATCATATTTTAATCGTCACACTGTGTCACAACCAAAATGGAATTTAACATACCCCAAAACGCTGCATTAAGATCACAGTACATCTCTCGTCATGTGATCATCCAATCAAAATGAAAGGTGCATGGTTTTCCGAGCCTGTCATATGTCAGCTAACAAAAATGTGTTATACATTCCTTGATCAATAATTTTGCAAGACTTTGGCTTCAAAAGTGTGACAAAATAGTGGACTCGTGGTGAATTTCTGATTTTTTTTGTATACAAAGTATATTTGCTACCTGAGGCTGTATTTGTAAGATACAAAGTTGCATGAAAATGGCTAATCCAAAATGGTTGCTTTGGGGCAACTTTCAAAGGTTATACATGTATTATGAAAGATTAGATAAATTTGAACAATATTTCAGTATCACAGCATAGCTTGGGCATAAGGAAGGCAAATCGAGACATGAGCTCTTCAACTGTTCTCACTTTGCCAAAACCTACATAATTACTGGTTCATGACAAGCAGATCCTGCCATGGTAATTCTACAATCTTTTGCCTCATACTTAACCCTTCACCCTGCTGAATAAATTAAACTGACCAAAAAGACATTTTAAAGATAGGAAGACAAGTTTCATTTCACTCATTAACAAAAACAATTTAAAATGGCAAGTGACAAGACGTAAATTGATATATTTAGAAATAGAGGTCTCCTTGAATTCCTGATCTATCAATAATTCAAGGATGTTTCAAGGACAATTCCAACATAATCAAATTTTCCCTTTCCTTGCACTAGCTACAACATGGCCATCATCAAAAGTCCAGTTTTCCCAAGAATTATCTCCCTTTGACCCACAGAATTATCTCCCTTTGACTTCACCGACTTCTTCCCAGCTCTTAAGTGTACAGGGACTAGCTTACTGCAGACAGATTGACAGTGCATGACACAAAGACGCTGCTGTCACTACACGGAGACCCTCTGCTGGTCTGATGGAGACCGGGTCCGGAAGCTGATATACATGCGATACATAAGGACAAGACAGCCTCAGCTGCATCAAACATAATACATGAACAGAGGCAGTGGACAGAAAAAAAAGACTGAAAATAAATCTGATGAATGAGTATTTGTGGTCTGATGTAAGTTTATATGATAAACTGACTGACTGAATTTGGTTTTACGCCGCTTTAAGCAATATTCCCGCAACATCACGGTGGGGGACACTAGAAATGGGCTTCACAAATTGTACCCATGTGGAGATTCAAACCCGGGTCTTCAGCGTGACGAGCCAACGCTTTAACCACTAGGCTACCCCACCGCCCCTTATATGATAAAATTAAGTTTACCTGATAATTACATGATTTGGCAAGAGAAGACTAATGTTGTGTTTTTTTCCTTTCTTATCATCAGAGTTTTTATCTGAAAATCTGAATTAGTTTCTGGCACATAATGTGTTATTTTGCTCAAGGAAATGTCAATATTCTTTCTTACTATAACTGGAAAGATTTCTTCTCAAAAGCAATGATAAAGATGTTTCTTCAATATGCTTATTATTAGTGTTTAAACAGGAGAGTGTTTTTAACTTTCCTTATTTAAGTCGTGAGATTTGTAAACCAAGCAATAAAATCCTTAGCACTACAATTATCAAATCATTCAATTCAACACAGACATAGCGGTCAAAATGCTACAGTCAATAGAAGGAGTAAACTGGTTAATAAGTTGCTAGATCTGAACATTTTACCCAAAGAAATACCCATAGTGACCACAAATATCATTGTGAAAGTGTGTCTTTCCAAAGCATTAGAAATAAAAAACTGTGTATTGTATACATGTATGTTTCAAAATTAACAAAAACAATCTGATAATATACCTACACGTGACATGCACACATATTTTTTTTTTAAATGATCTCTTTTTAGACAAAAAAATGTTTTGCTGATATATATTTCTGAAACCACAGCAAAACAAATTCCCTATCTTATGTATAAACATCCAGATCAATCGTCAGTGATACAGGTATGTATGTTTGATGCGAGCTGGACGCTGTCGGTCAGGCTAACCAAGCTGACCACCAGAAAGATACAGAGAGAGTCTGACATGGTCAGACACGATGCAAGTTTTCATGCGAGTCGTCAGACAACCTAGCACAGCTTACCACTTTCACCCTCGTCACTGGGGGGACTAAACGGCTGAAAAAACACCACTAGTTAGCTCATCGGAACAATGATGATGAATTATTAGACAAGAAACATTTGATGATATTGTGCCATATTTCTATGAAACTAAATACATGCATTGCACATATTGAGTTGCATCAGACTGGTTACTTGACGTCCTTGCACTGCATCACATTTACGATTCATGAAATTTTCTAACTTTCCAAATTTAGTTTTTGGAGATAATGCCATACAACACATCCATTATAATATGCAGTCATAGCTTCAACAGAACACAAACTCAATTTATGTTCAAAATCAAATGATGTTACGATCTCTGAACACTCATATCATCAAATTTTCCATCCTTCATCATTAGACTCTAACAAGAAATAAGAAATACAGCAGCCAGGTGCCATTGTATCTGAACTCTATGTAAGCTAAAGCATCTACAGAAATGAGCCTAGTAAAGGCAATGACACATAGCATGTTTATAAAGAAATGATCAAAAAGATTCTTGTATCTGTTCATATTATTTCAATAATATTTTTACATCATATTCATGAATGTTAATATTTCATGCCTCTTTTAACAAAATAGTTGCATGGAAAGTGATATAGTTTATCTTCTGAAATTTATGTTCTGAATCACCATGGATATTTCGGATACAAACAGTACTAACCTGAGGGACTGATTGAGAGAGTGGTCTCCCTTGAGCTGCAGAGCTGTATCTTCCCCCTGAACGGAAGGCTTGAGGGGGAGGAATCAATGGGCCGACCTGCCCCTCTTCTGGAATACTAGACTGCTGCAGTGGATTGTCTCCCCCTGCTTCAGTGTACTGTGTCTCCTCTTCTTCCATCGGCTGAAGTCTGGGACCAGGTCGTGCTGACCGAGCTGGGCTGTCCTTCATCATCGCATGACCATTTATGACCACACCTTTACTGTCTTCTGTCTCATCACTATACCTGCAGTAACCAGTGAATATGTCTCATTTAGGAGAATTGTTTCAGGGTTGAGACCATAAACAATTTTCAGAAATTACTTTCGGAGATTTTGAAAGAACATATATTCTCAAAAACTCTTCACAAACTTAAACAATCCAATAGTTTGTTTTGCAACAGTTTCATTTTTTACTAGTTTAGACATATAATTGAATATATGTGATAGAATAGTTTACTTTAACTAAGAATGTATATCCTAAAATGTGAAAGAATATTTTGATTTGTGTTGCTATGCTTGGTTGGCATTCGTTGTACAGCTCCACGTTACCATAGTTACAATGGTAGGAATATCTCTCGTTACTATAGTTACTATGGTAATAACAAGTTTCACAACAACCCACAAACTCAGATATCTCTCGTTACCATAGTTACTATGGTAATTATATGCTCCACAACAACGCACAAACTCGGACATTCCTCGTTACCATAGTTACTATGGTAATAATATGTTCCACGACAACACACAAACTCGGACATCTCTCGCTACCATAGTTACTATGGTAATAATATGTTCCACAACAACACACAAACTCGGACATCTCTCGTCACCATAGTTACTATGGTAATAACATGTTCCACAACAACACACAAGCTCGGACATCTCTCGTCACCATAGTTACTATGGTAATAATATGTTCCACAACAACACACAAACTCGGACATCTCTCGTTACCATAGTTACTATGGTAATAATATGTTCCACAACAACACACAAACTCGGACATCTCTCGCTACCATAGTTACTATGGTAATAACATGTTCCACAACAACACACAAACTCGGACATCTCTCGCTACCATAGTTACTATGGTAATAACATGTTCCACAACAACACACAAACTCGGACATCTCTCGCTACCATAGTTACTATGGTAATAACATGTTCCACAACAACGCACAAACTCGGACATCTCTCGTCACCATAGTTACTATGGTAATAACATGTTCCACAACAACACACAAACTCGGACATCTCTCGCTACCATAGTTACTATGGTAATAATATGTTCCACAACAACACACAAACTCGGACATCTCTCGCTACCATAGTTACTATGGTAATAATATGTTCCACAACAACACACAAACTCGGACATCTCTCGCTACCATAGTTACTATGGTAATAATATGTTCCACAACAACACACAAACTCTCGGACATCTCTCGCTACCATAGTTACTATGGTAATAATATGTTCCACAACAACACACAAACTCGACATCTCTCGCTACCATAGTTACTATGGTAATAATATGTTCCACAACAACACACAAACTCGACATCTCTCGCTACCATAGTTACTATGGTAATAATATGTTCCACAACAACACACAAACTCGGACATCTCTCGTTACCATAGTTACTATGGTAATAATATGTTCCACAACAACACACAAACTCGGACATCTCTCGTTACCATAGTTACTATGGTAATAACATGTTCCACAACAACACACAAACTCGGACATCTCTCGTCACCATAGTTACTATGGTAATAATATGTTCCACAACAACACACACAAACTCGACATCTCTCGCTACCATAGTTACTATGGTAATAATATGTTCCACAACAACACACAAACTCGGACATCTCTCGTCACCATAGTTACTATGGTAATAATATGTTCCACAACAACACACAAACTCGGACATCTCTCGTCACCATAGTTACTATGGTAATAATATGTTCCACAACAACACACAAACTCAGACATCTCTCGTTACCACAGTTACTATGGTAATAATATGTTCCACATAACAACACACAAACTCGGACATCTCTCGTCACCATAGTTACTATGGTAATAATATGTTCCACAACAACACACAAACTCGGACATCTCTCGTCACCATAGTTACTATGGTAATAACATGTTCCACAACAACACACAAGCTCGGACATCTCTCGTCACCATAGTTACTATGGTAATAATATGTTCCACAACAACACACAAACTCGGACATCTCTCGTCACCATAGTTACTATGGTAATAACATGTTCCACAACAACACACAAGCTCGGACATCTCTCGTCACCATAGTTACTATGGTAATAACATGTTCCACAACAACACAGAAACTCACCTGGAGTCGTGATGTAGTGGAACTCCTTTGGACGCCCTAGGGGCTGACGGTGCTGCCGACCTCACCCTCTCTGGTTGCTGGGGGAAGGGGTGAAGGGGTGCAGCAAACCCTCTGGGTGGGGGGATGTCGAGGGGGTTCTGCTGGTTTTGAACCTCGGGGGGAGACTTGGTGTCTTGTTCCCGTTCCTTGTCTCGATCCCGCTTCTTCTTTTTCTTCTTCTTCTCTAGTTTGTCAAGTCGACTCTGAGATGGCACTTTCGGCGCATTTGGAAGAGGAGTGAGCATTGGTGGCGGAGGGATCTTGCGACCTTCCAGCACACCTGTGAATCAGTACCAGAGACTGAGACAGTGCTTGCTATCACTTTCATAGAGTCAAATCATGACATCGATGAGTGGCATTTCAAGGTTAGCAAATACAATATTGTCAAACTTTATGGATAACTGACTGACTGAGTATGGTTTTACGCCGCTTTTAGCAATATTCCAGCAACATCAGGGCGGGGGACACCAGAAATGGGCTTCACACATTGCACCCATGTGGAGATTCGAACCTGGGTCTTCGGCGTGACAAGAGCCAACGCTTTAACCACTAGGCTACCCCACCGGCCCTTTAAGGATAACAAGGTCCTGCTTGACAACAGTACAGCAATCTGTATCATGATATAAAAGAAGTTGTTATCCATAAAGATTGTCAATATTTTAATCAAATCATGATCTGTTCATTAAACGCCATACCCAACCATAGTGGTTTAATGATACAGCAATAACTTACTAAAGCCTTATCCAAGGCTGACAATACAAAACATTGATTTTACAACTCCAATAGGTATGTTCAAGAACCAGTTTATGCAGATTCTCTAATATTTCCTGGTGTTGGCTAAAAAGCTGAGTCTGCCTAGAATGCCAAGTGTATATGTTTCTCCCCTGCAATATTTTTTTCTTCCCTGACTGAATTTGAAAACAGATGATTCAGGGTTGTGATTTACATGTAGAAAGGGAGATGAGTGAGTTTTACGCCGCTTTTAGCAATATTCTAGCAATATCACGGCAGGGGACATCAGGAATGGGCTTCACACATTGTACCCATGTGGGGAATCGAACACAGGTCTTCGACGTGACAAGCGGACGCTTTAACCACGAGGCTACCCCTTCCCTACGGGAGATAAGAAGAACGTATGAAATAGAAATACCATATTATCAGGATATGCATGCTATAGCGGCCTCATCACATCATTACACCTTTATTCAGCATTATTCCAGATATATCATAGTGGACTGTAGACATTTAGGACTGGACCAGACAAACCAGTGAATAATATCAACAGTACTTAAAGTTTTCTTGGTTTGTTTAAAACCATACTCAGCAATCTGACAGTCATATGATGGTGTTTTGTTAATACGGTAATCAAGTCAGAAACAGACAATTCAGTGACCGATCCTGTGAGTATTGATCCAGCTGTCTGGGTAGCAGGGGGTAGCACAGGGGGTAGCAGGGGGTAGTCTAGTGGTTAAAGTGTCCGCTCATCATGCTGAAGACCCAGGTTCAATTCCCCATATGGGTACAATGTGTAAATTCATTTCTGGTGTCCCCAGTCGTGATATTGCAGTGTTGTGTTGCTTAATGCCTTCAAGTAGCTTCTCACAAGCACTGCATAGGTTCCAGAATATTCCGTCCTACCTGGAGGTTTTGTCTGTCCTCCCGACCCTGGTCTGTTGCCCTGGTCAGGACTCAGGGGTTTCTTCATCGATGGCCCTTGTTCGACAGACTGACCCGACCCGCTGGACAGAGGGGGAGGGCTGGCGACCTGGTCACGTGAGGACGGTCCGGACCCTGGACGAGGAGCAGGTGCTTCCCTGGGGGCGGGGCGTGGAGGCAGGGGCTGCTGCTGTCGGATCATGTGGGGTTTCTGAGGGGTGATGTTGGGAGGAGAGGGAGCAGGGCCACCTCGGCCGGTTCGGTAGGCAGGGGCGTACGCCTGTGGGGCGGAGAACTTCGGTGAGTTTTGGAAGCGCTGCCCTAGGGGTGGGTCGATCGTGGTGGTAGTGGTGCTCTCCTCCAGGGCCTCGTACTGGGACTCCGGCTGCTGGTGAGGGTGATTGTTGTACTGTAGCTCCTGTATCAGATACAACATAGAGTGAGTGAGTGAGTTTAGTTTTACGCCACACTCAGCAATATTCCAGTTATATGGTGGCGGTCTGTAAATAATCGAGTCTGGACCAGACAATCCAGTGATCAACAGCATGAGGATTGATCTGCGCAATTGGGAACCGATGACATGTGTCAACCAAGTCAGCCAGCCTGACCACCCGATCCCGTTAGTTGCCTCTTCGACAAGTATAGTTGCCTTGTACGGCAAGCATGGGTTGCTGAAGACCTATTCTACCCCGGATCTTCACGGGCCGATACAACATAGAGGAAAAGGAGGTTATAGGATTAAGATAACATAGACAAAATAAGACAATTCTTTATTGTCCATTTGGGAAATTTGTCTTACATCTGAGGAGTATAATTCATAAAGGCACTGAATTGATGAATTCCTGCTGCTAACTTATCAGCTGCCATATAAAAGGTTATTACCATGTACTTATTATGATAAAAGTATATATAACATTAATACAATGCTTAAGACTAATAGACTTAAGCTTGTTAATATGCTAGTATAAACTCCTTAGAGTTTGTTAGCTAAAATACTTTAAGATATAACATAGTACTAAGCTTAAGATATGATTAAACTTAAGCTAATTATATAATAGCAAACTCTTTAGAGTTTGTTAGTTAATATACTTATATGATATAGATATAATGCTGAGCTTAAGATATGAATAAGCTTTAGCTACATATATAATAGCAAAACTCTGTAGAGAGTTTGTTAGCTAATATATTTTTATAATATGAGTATAGTACTGTGCTTGCTATAATTAACTTTAAGCTACATATATAATAGCCAAACTCTGTAGAGTTTGTTAGCTAATATATTTTTATAATATGAGTATAGTACTGTTGCTTAAGCTATAATTAACTTAAGCTACATATATAATAGCCAAACTCTGTAGAGTTTGTTAGCTAATATATATTTATAATATTAGTATAGTACTGAGCTTAAGATATAATTAACTTAAGCTACATATATATAAGCAAAACTCTGTAGGGTTTTGTTAGCTAATATATTTTACAATATGAGTATAGTAGTGTGCTTAAGATATAATTAACTTAAGCTACATATATAATAGCAAAACTCCATTAGAGTTTGTTAGCTAATATATTTTACAATATGAGTATAGTAGTGTGCTTAAGATATAATTAACTTAAGCTACATATATAATAGCAGAACTCCGTAGAGTTTGTTAGCTAATATATTTTACAATATGAGTATAGTATTGTGCTTAAGATATTATTAACTTAGCTACATATATAATAGCCAAAAACTCTGTAGAGTTTATTAGCTAATATGTTTATAGTGTAACCATAGTACTAAGCTTATAGTACTGAGCTTAAGTTATGATGAAACTTAAGCTATATATATATAATAACAAACTCCGTGAGTTTTGTTAGCTAATACCTTTATAATGTAACCATACTGCTTAAGATATGATGAAAACTTAAGCTAATTGTATAATAGCTGAAAACAACCCTTTAGAGTTTGTTAGCTATGATATAAACCTAGTATTGAGCTTATGAAGGAAAACTTAAGCTACATATATAATAGCAAGAACTCCAGAGTTTGTTAGCTAATACATGTTATAATGTAACTATAAAGCTTAAAATATGATGAAACTTAAGCGAAATATATAATAGCAAAACCCTCTTTTAGAGTTTTGATAGCTAATATACCTATATGATATAAACATAGTACTAAGCTTTAAGATATGAATAAGCTTAAGTTACATATATAATAGCTAAAACTCTGTAGAGTTTGTTAGCTAATACATGTTATAATATAACCATATTGCTTAGAAATATGATGATACTTAAGCCAAATAGCAAAAACTCTTTAGAGTTTGTTAGCTAATCTACTTATATGATATAAACATAGTACTAAGCTTAAGATATGAATAAGCTTAAGCTACCTATATAATAGCAAAACTCCTTAGAGTTTGTTAGCCAATATATTTTAATAATATGAGTATAGTACTATGCTTAAGGTATAATTAGCTTAAGTTACCTATATAATAGTAAAACTCCGTAGAGTTTGTTAGCTTAATTAACTTAAGCTATGTATAAATAGCCAAAACTCTGTAGAGTTTGTTAGCTGATGCATTTATCATGTAACCATAATATTACTCTTAAGATATGAATAACTTAAGGTAAATATATATAATAACAAACTCTGTAGAGTTGTTAACTTATATATTGTATGATGTAATAATCATAGTACTGTGATGATAAAAGGAACTTAAGTAAATTATATATAGCACGAAGCTATTTAGTATTGTTATAAGATAAGTAAAAATCTGTTAGATTGACTTATCTTCTCGAGGAACTGTCAGCTGTTGTCAGCGAGGACCATGGGATCGAATTGGTGTATACCTGAGGCGTCCTCGGTGGTGATATCTCTCAGATAATGGTTTGCAACCACCATATCGGATCTCCAGAAATAAACCCTCCAATATTTCAATCACATTTGTGTGGAACAATTGTAGAAGTTAGCTATAATATCATGAGTATTAAGCTCATGGAGGGTCGGAATAGGTCCATCCGCATATGCAACGTAGTATGACAGTTCTGATCCAAATGGAGATATAGTACATGAGACTTCTCTCTGCGTAAGTTGATGATAGAGAAATAATCTGTTGCATTTTTTACTCCTGTTTGGTTTGGGTGGAGATAAATTTACAGTGCTCTTGCTGGCCATCTTGATAGAATCATCATTATCATGGGGTCCAAGTATGTCATCCAGGCGTGTTCATAAACCTCACTTGTGAGGTGTTGGAGCACTATATTCATATCCCCAGGTTAGTGGAAATTTCCGTTTATTCTCCAAACAGAAGTTTAGTAGGTTTACTAACCATCTAGCTGTGTTAGTCGCTGATGAAATTCAGCTGTAGTCTGAAATGCTGTGGATTTAGATCCACTTGTATCTTTCGTCTAGGTAATTAAGCATGACGAGTCCTTGACTTGATGTAGGTGCACAACAACCAGGTGTGTCTGTCCTCGTTGAACTTTATGTAAAATCGCGATCTGACTGCGATCCCTCGCCTTAACTTGACAGGGGAGGTCTCTATCTTGAAGAAAGGCAGTCTAATCATGAATGTTCAGGTTAACTGGACTGTAATGAGGCTTGCTTGCTCGCTCACTGATATATAGTTGTCACTTGTGGCGTAAGTCTTGAACTGTGAATAGAGATCAACCTCTGTGTAGGTCGTTGTCCTCATGGTCCAATCAGAACAAGGCATTTTGATTCTGTATAATACCACGCTGTGATGTCACCGGTGTAGCGGAAAAACCCACCTTGAATAAATTCTTGTTGTCGCCGTTGATATTAGCATAAACGCCGGTCTTCACCGTAGCTTCGAAGTTATCCGAAAGTGACCACGCGTGTTTCGAGGGTTAATGGTAACGCTGCTGAAACCTCCGGCGAAATATCTCAGCTCTGTAATTTTATGCTGGGTAGGTTATTTTCCTGGTTGTCGCGGAAAGTAATTTCAGTTTTGAATATAATTCCGACTTCCTTATATATAAGGGTATAAACAACTTGCAAGTTGTGAGCTTGTAGACTGTATACATGAATGTATCGTCATAATTGTAGAATTAACGTTGAACTTGTTGTACATATTTCTTCTCAGAAAACTTTGACGATTAAGAGTTATACTCGCTGTAACAAGGCTGCTGTTCAATTTGATATTGAATTGTCTGCAGATATGCGTAATGGTCACGCATGCAGATAATCGATCGTCGTCCGGGATTGTATATTAGCAACTTTTATACGGAATAGTTGATTTCTGTGAAGATCTATGAAATGTGTTGACTAATAATACAGCGACGTTCTGTGTTGTAAATATAGCCTGAGCAATTATCTTGGCACAGAAGCTTTATAGGCTGCATCTGGCATACAGTTGATAATCAACTTATGCGGCGTCTTGAAACGGACTGACAGTAGCTATATATGACAGTGGCTAGTATATGGAAACCTTGGAGGAGACTTCCTCGGTGAACGCCGAGACTTCGCGAAGTTCTCGAAGTATCCCTTCTAGATCTTCTGGGTGAAGTAGACTTGGAGTTATTTCTAGCCTTCGCGACCATCAGCGAAGGTGTCGAGAATCAAAAGCCCCGATTAGTATATATATATATATATATATATAAATATATATATGAGCTTGTTTCGTGAACAGCCTCTGTGTTTAACAGGATGTGGATCGGGCGGCTTGCCTAAGTATGGCCGCATGGATCATCTTATCATATTCAGAAGTAGGTATGTTTAAGTCTGGTGATAAGTGTCTAATTGATCGTTCTTCTAGATCTATTTAGGCCAGCGAACATCGATCTTCGTCATGGATTCAACAGAACCAATATCGATTGTAGTTCTTATACTTGATATCGATGATCAACTTGTCTATGGGTTGATCTTCTGGAGACTTCATGAGGGGAACGCTTGATAGTTTCGGCTTGGCTCTTGTATAGTCCTCGATGTCCTTCTAGATGATGATGATCTGATTCAGGTGTCCTTTCAAGATGCCTTCGTGAAAGCTTCCTCGTCGGTCGGGTCCGGGAACGACGATATGACCTTCGGCGAAAGGCTTCGTGATGTCTGATGGTCCGAGTCCACATCTAGGATGAAACCAGCATAAGGTGATGATTTATCCTGCCTTCGCTAAGTCCTTCTGAAGGCTGTACATCTAGGTTCTTTCCGCATCGAAGGCTGTACATCTAGGTCCTTTCCGCTGCTTCGCTGAAGGCCTTCGGCTGGCTGTACATCTAGGTCCTTCGTCAAGGTGGTCCGCGGACTTCCTTCGAAGGTGACATCGGCCCTGGCTGCTACGCTGACGGGGTGCCTCTGGGGTGTTGTTCACGCTTGGAGCCTTCGCTGCTCGACCCTGCTAACAAGAGATATTGGTCCTCCATGATGTTCATAATTTGTCGCGATCATGTCTTCTGGGATGGTCTGCACGCAGGTCGCCGGTGCTTTATCTGTGGTGTTAATGGAGGGTCCACGGAAAATGCGTCCGACATCAGTGTAGAGGCATCAGGCTGCATGGTGATCTCTGCTGATGTCGTTGTAGCTGTCCCCGGTCGTTTCTTGTGAAATGCGTCGGGGATGATGATCAGCTGATCATCGTGAGAGGTCCAGGTCATCGGGCTGGAACAACCGGTTGAGAAAGTCTAGTAGACTTCGTTGATTTTCCCTCAGAGGTCACGCTGCCCTGGGTGTCGCGACGTCTGCGTTGAGTGTTGGTAATGATGGGGACCCTCAGGGACGATCATCGCATATCTGGCGTTGGTACATCAGGCTGCATGCTGATCTGTGCGCGACATCGGGTCAATCTTTGATGTACATCGGTATGATGACCCGGCTGATCATCATACAGGCCCAAACTTCGATGGGAACGGTCCCGGGTTGTTGAGATGTAGTAGAAAACCCTCTAGTCTTCTGCTGCGACGATGGGATGTCTGGGAAGCAGAATGCTTCTTGAGATGGCGGACTACGCCCCACACCTCTCCACCACTCTAGCGAACACCACACGGAGGAGTCGGCCAACAGCAGTAGACTGGCGAGGGTTCCGTGTATCAGTCATACTAGACTCTGCATACTGCGACCTATATCTGCTGTCAATGGGCAGCAAACGCAAAGTAAATATTAATAAAGAGGTAGAATTGGATAAATTAGTACCGCAACTGCAATGTGAATATAATAAACATGGCCGTACATCATATTAAAGGTGGATCAGCAGCAGCAAAGCGTAATCTGCAATAGTACAGAATTTTCATCAACGTAATCCACTGAAACAAACACAGCGGCCCCGTGAATAAACTGTAGAAAAATCCACTAAATATCAATATATGGTTGGAAGGATACTAGCTAAACCTCTATAGATGTCTATCTGAGGTAACTAACTAAAATATAATCAAAGGATATAGTGTGTATTAGGAGACACAGGCGGCTCTCACGCCCAGCTCACTGGGCGAAGGAAGGAGTGAGGAGGCACATGGGTAGAGGTGGCTCTGGCTTCCGGCTGGCCAGGGAAAGGAGGTAACCGTGGTGAATACTAATTAGTGATTTTAAATTGAAGGGAGCTTCAATTAGGGAGATACAAGTGTTCCACTATGTTCGCAAGAAGAAGAAGACAAGCAAAAAGAGCATGAGTCAGGATAAGGAAAAATAATACAAGTATTTCAATAAATACATAAAACATGATCATAATTACATACAAGTTACAAGTGCATGAGAATGGAGAACAGCAGTTATTCAACAAAGAAACTGACAATGGTACAATATAAGTTGTTCACTGGTCATGAGGGGGGCATGGGTTGATGTACCCTCGATGTTTGTTTATGTTCATAAGATAAAACACAAAGGAAACTGAGATCAGGTAACTGTGTCAGCAAGATACAACATAAAGGAAATTGAAGTTTTACATTTCTCAGCCACCTATATCAGCAAGATGTAGCATTAAAGAAACTGAGGTTACAGCAACATTAGGTTATTGAACTTAGTTCACAGGTTATGCTTGGGTATAACGGGCCAGTGTTATATATATGTCAGTGATGTCACCTGACCACCACTCAATTGTAGCTGCAAGACAAAAGGGAAGCAACTCTGCAGAGCCTTAGCCAGATTGGCCACCAGTGGTATTGTCTTCAGTCCATAAAGTATCAAAGGAACTTAGTAACTGATATTTCCCAAAAGATGAAGCAACACCCACCTGAGAATGGGAGAAAGATGATGGCGGTGGGGGGCGTGGCTGAGTGTGTCTGGGTGGGGGGCGAGGCTGGATGGTCTGAGGTCTAGGGGCAGGAGCAGGTCGTGCTCTTGGTGGGGATCTGTCCTCGTCATCATCAATGTCTGACACGTCCATTCCCCCGACACTCACACCGTCAACATCCTCCTCTCCCTCCACATGGCCATCTGCAACAGTGTTAACATTGACATCTGATACTCACGGTGACTCTACATGATAGACTGTACAAACTTATTACCAATGATAGTGTGTTTGTTTTTTAATGCTGCACTCAGCAATATTTCAACTATATGATAGTGGTCTGTAAATAATCGAGTTTGGACCATACAGTCCAGTGATCAACATCATAAGCATCAATCTATTCAGCTGGGATACCATGACATGTGTCAACCTGACACCTGGCGAGCCTGACACCTGATCCTGTTAGTCGTCTCTTACGACAACACATGGGTTGCTGAAGACTAATTCTAACCCAGACCTTCATGGGTCTATTACCAATGACTGACCGTTCATTAGTTGTAGTGTAAGGCCATCTACATTTATTTTTGTGTTTCTCATCTTCAACCTCAACAAGCAGGAGAGGGATTGGGAGGATGATCAAAATAATTAATTGCGTAAGCACTTTTACGAAATTTAGAAAGTTAGATCACTTGGTAATAGTGTATAATTTAATTGATGATAGAGATTGAGGCACTTTGCTTTGGAGATTTTTTTATTATAGGTAGTTGAAGAAAGATTATTTTTAGATTTTTCCAAGACATCTGAGATAAAAACACATTTTACTATTGCATTTCTTTAAATTCAGGGCTGGGGAAAGATGGGAAACTCAAGAACAAAACAAGGCCAGCCTTATCAACTTGAACTGCTAAAAATTAAATTCCACTCGGCTAATTTTAATTGATATTTTGGACGAATACTGGCCACCAGGTCGGGTTAAATCCGTGGGCTACTGAAAATTACGAAGCTTGTGTCGTTCACTGACCATGATCGTCAGTTATCATGTCCGTCTCCTCCCGTCCGTTAGCGTAGAAAGCAATGTTTGCTGTGCGCTTGGTGTCCACACTCACCTGGAACAAGGGAGATAACCAAGTAAACAATCCATGTATCTTTCAACACAGTAAACTACAGACTGTATAACAAATACACCTTGTAACTGACATCCACAGCATGCAGTTTATTTAGGTCCAGGGTCCAGATCCACAAAGCATTCGTAACATTACAACCTGTCGTAACACTAATGTAAACCATTATTTTACGAATGTCAGGGCTCCTGATAATTTTTCAACATCAGGAGTACGTACTCCTTATTTTTTCAATATAAGAGTACTGGAAAACCTTAAGAGTACATTTAGAGTACTGAATGGAATTTAATGGAGTATCAGTAATCTTGTGTTTCCATTCATGTATGCACCACAACATTGTTACTTGTGTAAACTGGTCAATAAACAATACTTTTTCCAATAAATATGAGTGTAAATGATTCTAAGACCGTACACCATTGCTGTGGTGCGTATCTGCTACGTTTTCAAAATATTTCCTACCGATCGTGCATATTTTTTATCCGTACATACCCCGATACAGCCCTTATCTGGAGCCTTGGAATGTTGCAGCACTACGAACGCTTTGTGGATGAGGACCCTTCACGAAGCAACCTTTACTAAGGTTAACCGTAACTCCCATTCATTAACATTGCACTAAGGTTACCTTAGTGACTTACGATCACCTTAGTGCTTTGTGAAAGGAGGCCCTGGTCTCTTGTTGTATAACTTAGCTGATATGTGTATGAAAAAACATGGTAATAACGAACTAAAGTTAGTACTGGACTTGAGTTCTTTTAGTTTACTGTATATATGTGCTTTTATGTGTTGTTTCAGGACTACATTTTGTCTCAGTTACACATCATCAGACAGCAATGTGGAAATCATTTCACTACATAAGTTCTAGAGAGTAAACACCAAAAATATTCACTAAAAACAATAATATAAACAACCCCTAAAGACAGTAAATCATTAAGAAACTTTCTCTTTTGCATCAAACATTTTTGCAGCGTCAAATTTGGATATGTAACATTGTGAGATCTTCATTAAATCTGTGTAAGACTGAATATTCTTTAGCTAACATGCACACATCTGCTTCTAATAATAATCAAGACTCATTCGACCAAGTAAGGGAGGTAACTCCAGGTGCCATGTCGGCAACAGCAGTACCAACTTTGTTATCTGCTCTCTGCCAATACATACTTCAATGCGTTCCTTCTTTCTCTCGTTCCCTGCACTGCTGATGCCTCTATCACCATTGAGGTCCGTCTTTTCATGGCCTTCAGGTGTAGTAAGGCTGTTGGCTCGCCGTGACAGCAGCGGCCTCGATGTTCTGGGACGTTTGGGGGGATGAGGAGGTGTCACTGGAGTTGTGTCCCCTGACTTGCCTGGCCAGTTCTGGAAATATGGAAAATTTCAATTCAATAAGAACTTACCTACCTTTGAAGAAATGGGGGTTCATTTGCCAAGAACTCTTACTGTGACATAATATCATGCCTCTTTTCTCCATGTAGGGATGACTTAATTCAGTTTCAGGCACAGGTATAGACTAACACCCAGTGTAAATGTGTTTGTTTGTGTGTGTGTTTGTGGTGTTCTGATTAATTGGTTGCAGTGACCAAACAATGAAGCAATCGATTACATTTAATCTCTTAATTGAACACAAATGATTTTGGACCTACTGTTTTAATATTTGAAACACTAGACCATGGAACATATCTTAGATGTTGTCAGGGCCTGAAAACGTGTTTCATTCTTAGAAAACTCACTTCACTTACTAAAAAGTCATGATTGAATATTTCTTGAAGACGTTTATGTTATGTTAGGAAGTTTATGTTCATGATATATGTCATCACTTAAAAGTTGCAAGTTGCATCATTCTACATTGGATGTGAAATTTGCGCAGTTTCTAAATAAAACAAAAACAAGAGAGAACCACGTTATACTTGTCTGCAATAACAACCTGAAGAGGAAAATCTGAAAAATGACACTATCCAATGTATTTCAATTGTAAGGGACCGTTCATAATTTATGGCTAGGGGGTGATGATGATTTTAACCACCCATTTTGTTCTTGGGAGCTAGGGGGTCAGCAATTTTGTACACACGTACTAGGAGGGGTCAGCAATTTTGTACATAAAAATATGTTTAAAATTATGCTTAGAAATTATGGGAAGGGGAGGGGGGTCATTGATTTGTACATGCCATGCAATGGGGTCACTTATTTTGTACATAAATTTTAGGAGGGGTCATTCACATTGTACATGCTTCTCCATAAAAATCATCACCACCCCCCCTAGCCATAAATTGTGAACGGTCCCTAATGAACCAATTTTCAATTGTGAGATTTCAACCAATTACCAACACCAGTGTGTGTGAGAGTGGTGTCTCTCTCTCTGTGTCTGTCTCTCTTCCCTCCCTCTGTCTGTGTCTCTCTTTCCCTCAACATCGCCTGTTTGTCTGTCTGTGTCTGTCTGTCTGTGTCTCTGTATGTGAGTGTCAGTGTACAGACTCAACATCGTCTGTCTGTCTGTCTGTCTGTCTGTCTGTGTCTCTGTACGTGAGTGTCAGTGTACAGACTCAACATCGTCTGTCTGTCTGTCTGTCTGTCTGTGTCTCTGTATGTGAGTGTCAGTGTACAGACTCAACATCTGTCTGTCTGTCTGTCAGACTCAACATCGCTTCGTCTGTCTGTCTGTCTTTGTCTGTGTGTCTGTCTGTCTGTCTGTGTCTCTGTATGTGAGTGTCAGTGTACAGACTCAACATCGCCGTCTGTCTGTCTGTCTGTGTCTGTCTGTGTCTGTAATGCCTTGAGTGTCAGTGTAATGAGGTTGTAGTGACTCAACATCGCCTGTCTGTCTGTCTGTCTGTGTCTCTGTATGTGAGTGTCAGTGTACAGACTCAACATCGCCTCAACATCTGTCTGTCTGTATGTGAGTGTCTGTCTGACTCAACATCGCCTGTCTGTCTGTATGTGAGTGACCTCTCATCGTGTGTCTACAGACTCAACATCGCCTGTCTGTCTGTCTGTGTCTCTGTACGTGAGTGTCAGTGTACAGACTCAACATCGTCGTCTGTGTCTGTCTGTCTGTCTGTCTGTGTCTCTGTATGTGAGTGTCAGTGTACACTCAACATCGCCTGTCTGGTCCGTCTGACTCAACATCAACATCGCCTGTCTGTCTGTCTGTGTCTGTCTGTGTCTCTGTATGTGAGTGTACAGTCAACATCGCCTGTCTGTCTGTGTCTCTCAGACTCAGTGTACATCAACTGTCTGTCTGTCTGTCTGTCTGTGTCTCTGTATGTGAGTGTCAGTGTGTCTGTCTGTCTGTCTGTCTGTCTGTCTGTGTTCTGTATGTGTCAGTGTCAGTGTACAGACTCAACATCGTCTGTCTGTCTGTCTGTGTCTGTATGTGTCAGTGTGTACAGACTCAACATCGCCTGTCTGTCCTGTCTGTCTGTCTGTCTGTCTGTGTCTCTGTATGTGAGTGTCAGTGTGTATGTGAGTATGTGAGTGTCAGTGTACAGACTCAACATCATCTGTCTGTCTGTCTGTCTGTGTCCTCTGCCTGTCTGTCTGTCTGTCTGTCTGTCTGTGTCTCTGTATGTGAGTGTCAGTGTACAGACTCAACATCAACCAGTCCTTGTTTCACCTTCATAATCCCAAGCATAATGCACTGCAACAACAAATTCCACCCACCTGGTATGATCAAACAACCAGTCTTCTGCTCTGCAGCACACATATATCCAGTCAACTCACCTTCATAGTGAAGTCCTCGCTCTGATTCACGTTGCCGTTCATGATATGTAGATTGTCTATGAGACCCATTCCTGGCACCATGGGTGATGTGGGGTTGGAGACAATCCGTTGGCGCTGATGCGACATGATTATCAGCTGGCAGTAGTGGAGCTGGCGGTTGAGGGCGTAGTCCCACGCTGTGGCGTTGAACTGGTCTACCACAGTCAGGTCAACTGTAAGTGCAAACAGGAAAATATTGGATCAAGTGAACTCCGGAATACAAGAGGCTCATATCAGCTGATCTGTGGAGATCTGTGGAGATCTGTGGAGATCTGTGGAGACATATGTTTCGCTTACTCAGGGAATCACATCCCTCCATGAATTCAACACGTTACTCTTGTTCAACAGAATTATTACAAATTGTTTTAAGAAAGAGTGACTTTCTTTGAACTCTTCAGTCCATGCTTTCATCTTAACCCCCGAGATAGATGAGTCGAGGCCGGCCAGGTGTATATTTGTACGTACCGCCCTGCTCCAGGAGGAAGTTGACGATCTCGCCATGTCCGCGTATCGTGGCGAGATGGAGTGCAGTTCCTCCCCTGGGCGTCCGTATCATGGATACAGATACGTCCTGCAATCTCCATGACCAGCTTGGCAGCCAGCAGTGACCCTGAAATACACAATTCACAACCCTGTAAAACATCCACTTGAATGACGAACACGGAGTGAGTGAGTGAGGTTCAACACTTTGGCGTGAAGAGCAAACGCTTTAACCATTAGCCTATCCCACTGCCCGGTACAGGCTTTAAAACACTTGTATACTACTCGAAACAAGTTAAACAACACCTGATTTGTCATGTTACTAAAGTTTACCTATCGTGGCTGTGTACAGCCTTCCACACTCATAATACATATTTTGAGTATTTTGAGTGTGGCGATTGATATATTTCTTTTCACCGCAACCTAGAGGTCCTGATGATGACCTTTCCAAAATCACCAGGTCCAGGCACTTAGATAGGATGATAGTTGGATGGGGTTGGGTGGTGGTGGGGAGAAATTGGGGTGGGTGGTGAGTGAACGGTGGGTGGTGAGTGATGGGAGGAGGTGGGAGGATTGGTTGTGGGTGAAGAGTGAACGGTGGGTGGTGAGTGATGGGAGGAGGGAGGATGGAGGTGGCTGTTGATGGTGGGTCATGGATGCTTGGTGGTTGGTGGTAGTTGATGGGTAGTGACTCACCCATCTCAGCAGCGAGAAGTAAGACTGTCTTGCCATCATCATCCTTGATCGCCGCAGTGTCCGCAGTTATTAAAGTCTGAAACAGATCAAAACAAAGCCTTGAAGTAACTGCAAAGAAAAAAGCCATATCTATCCATCAACAAAATTCAACTGGTACTTTCAGGAGTGCAGACATTTTCAAAACTGGTTTGGAACACTGACAATGATTGAACATTACTCCTTCAACATGGCGTATCAACCATCATCACCTTCGTTTGTGATCATCACCAAAACTATTATCATCCATGACAACCTCAAATCAACATTGACTGATCAAATATACCAAAAACCAAGCATCTGCTTCAAATCCATCATCTTATGTGTTTTGTTAAGTTGTTGGTTAAGGTCGCACTCAGCAAAATACAACTGAGTTTGGACCAGACAAGCCAGTGACCGATTTTGTGAACAAAAATCTTCGTTTAAGTCAAGTCATCATGGCTGACCAATGACCACCTTTCAGATGGGCTGGACAATCCAGTGATTGATATTATTATGAACAACAATACCCATTGTCTTGGCATGATGACACGCTATCAGTAGAGTCACCAAACCTGACCATTGAACACCTGATTCCCGATGGGCCAGACAATCCACTGATTCATACTGCGAACAATGGTCCCCATCGTCTGGCTTGTAAAACCCACCTGCAGACACTCCAGCGGTTCTGTTCGCCGCACAGCCCAGTGCATCCACGTGCGGCCATTAGCATCCCTCTCGATCCCGTCTGGCTCCTCGATGTGAGAGTTATCTGCCCTGCTCAGCAGCTCGAAGTGCTCAATGTGATCCATGCGACATGCCCACATGGCGGGAGACAGTCCATCCTTGTCCCGGATACCAGGGTCTGCGTTGTGCTCCAGGAGAAGCTGCAACATGGAACATCATCTCAACCAACAGATCTACAGCATGGGAACAGGGAGAGTGATTCCACTGGGTGACGCGAGGTGAGGTGAACATCATCTCAACCAACAGATCTACAGCATGGGAACAGGGACAGTGATTCCACTGGGTGAGGTGAGGTGAGACAAAATAAGGTAGGTGAGGTGAGGTGAGACAAAATAAGGCAAGGTGAGGTGAGGTAACATGTGGGTTAACATTAAACATTCGTGCACTCATACAACAATGTGCATGAAAGCGTGTGCGTGTGTCTTCATGTGTGGCTGCTTGTACTAGTCCAAACTTTCACCAGTTTTATAGTGCTAGCCCTCTATGATCTCAACAGGGATACCCCACCCTAGACAAAGGCTTAAGCTTTAGTCTCTGAAGGAGCCCCAGTGAGAGTGGAGACTGACAAAAATAATGATTAGATTCACTTGGGGCTTTTGTATAAAACAAATGTTGGTGTGAAAGAAAGAAATAATATGGTTAGAACTATGGGATGGACTAGTCCCACTCAGTCTACCCACACTGAGCTGACCAGTCCTTAAAACATTGTTCTATTCTCTTAACATAGAGATCTAGGGTTACAAGAAGGGCTATCTTTCTACACTTTTGGTTTCAGGAGTCCTGGAAACCACAGACTTTCCCCTCTCTAGGCAGACACACTGTCCAATTCACCATGAAGGCGGTCATAATGTTCACACAAAGCCTGAAGTGTCGCAACTAAATTTCCCTGGGATAATTGAGGTTTGCTCTCTTAAAATTTGAATCCAGTGATCGCTAAATATTTATTTTATAAAATAGGCTTATGACAAGGGCCCTTTGATTTTCATGCTTAATTTCACTGAAGGTTGTAGATGTTCAGTAAGTTGGGGAATCGATCATGTATAATGCTGACACATCATAATCAAGGATATATCTGAAAATATGTCAGTGACTGTCGTTTATAGACCCAGATAATATTCCAGTCTTATGACAGTGGCCCTGGAAACAAGCAAGTCTGGATGAGATGCACCAATGTTTTAAGCAGGCCATCTTTGTCCTACAAATATACAAGCAGATAAATGGGTACCCGGTAGGATGAGATGGTAATGACAGTAAACCATCTTAAGGTAGGGTTGTATACTCCCCAGGGAGATGAGAATAAAAACAAGAAGACAAAGTCATCAATATCCTCTGCAATGGTAAAATACTCTTCATGAATATACATTAAGTCCATATGACAGAGTGATGCATTAGGTTCTTGTATACCCACAAAGTAGAAGGAGACTGTTGAAAGGTTTTAAAGTTCTGCTCCAGAGAGGAGCACCAACACCAATATCAGTCAAAGTCAATCTTGTTGCCATGGAAACGCAAAAAAATATTTTATCCAGAAATCCAAAACTACCAAAAGGCACCAGTTCACCAATTATTGAATGGTTTTCATGTTCTGCTTCCGAAAGGACCAATTTCCAATGACGGATGCACAGACGGAGTTTATTTTGATACCCCCCTGCAAAACACGTTGCTGCTGATAAAAATGAGTGCACATTGATGGACTGACCAGGGTAAAAATGTTACCAGTCTGTTCATGCTTCATATGGAAGCTAGCACAATACACCGCTAAGTACACACATTATTTTATGTGCACTGGGGAACAACGACACCCAAGTCATAGACCCTGACTAACCTACTTCTATGTAACCATCAGCTCTTAGAACAAGCAAACCTCGACTAAACACAGGATTACACAGATACCTTAAATGGTACAAGTTACCTTTCGACACTCTTTAACACAAAGAACCCGAGACACAACAATAAAAACAAAATCATTTATCAATTACTAAGATGGAAAACTATTATCTACGACTGTTCATTGAAGCTTTAAGCCAGATTACAACCTCATACATGCCCCAAAGCTTATCAAGGAATTAATTACACATCTCATGGCAGGTCATGAGGCTAATTGACCCTGGTTTATTTCCAATAAGGATACCGCTTAATAGCAGTTTTCCATCAGATACAGATGATTAAGTTTGGGCAAACCACACAATCAGATAGTAAAGGTTGAGCCATCCAAGTGTAGCCTGGGGCATGTGCCCACTGAAGCTTGTTGAGCAGGTATACTGCTGTGGTTGTATATATCACTGACAGGTGACAGGTCAGCTGTGTGACATGTTGAGTGACAGGTCAGCTATGTACAACCGGGTCACCTCAACTCAGCTTACGTATTAGGTTCTAGGTTGAAACAGGTGCCTTTCAAAACCAGACAAAACTTGTTTAGCATTTGACACAGAGGAGAGAAATTTTTAAAAAGACCTGTAGTTTTCTTTCAAGTTAAAGTTACAAGCTCTCTGTATAAAGATATTTTGATGCTTAGTCCACATTGAGTGAATGACTATTGTTTATGTAATAAATTAACTAGGCTCCCATTAGTTAGAATTGGTCTTCAGCAATCAATGCTGTCGTAACAAGCAACTAACTGGATAAGGTGGTCAGGCTCACTGACTTGAATGACACGTCATTCTATCCCACTTGCGATACTAGTGATGTTGATCACTGAATTGTCCGGTCCAGACTCGATTATTTACAGATCGCTGCCATATAGCTGGAATATTGCTGAGTGCGGCGTAAAACAATGAACAAACAAACACAAAAATGACAATGATCCATTGTGTATGTCAGAAGTTGCTGTTTAACTGTGTCAGCCCACTATGTAATCGTATACAGCATGTACAATTACAAAGTTGAATAGATTACTGATCACACTGTGGCGATCATAAATTCTATATGGTAGGTCAAACATGTTTGAAAACATGTACCTGTAGTCTACATGTTACAGATAACAGCTTGTAACACCTCTGTCTACAATCTGTCACATCTAAATACAACCAGTTCCCTATCACATCATGTGCATGCCACACTAAAAGGTTAATGCTATGTTTAGTCAAGAAACGTAGCATGCACCAAACCAGGGTCAAAATATGGGTAGGTTGAACTGAAATTAAAACAAACCTGGAGATAAAAGAGCTCGACCTCTTTGTGAAAAAATATAATTCTGACCAATGAATACGTTTAGCAATATATTCATTATTTTTTTACAAAATGTCTCCGGATGCAGATTTGAACACGGACCTAAGGATGTCAACAAAACCTCAACAGTCCTCCGCTCTACCAACTGAGCTATCACAGGCTGGGAGACAGATTTCACCAAACACAAGTGGTTCAAATAGATTTTAAGAAAGACAATGAAATTTTATGTGTAGATAGTATACACTGAGAATACAACAATTAATGATTTGGTGCAGAAAATTCACAAAATGCACGGTTCATTGTGTGCTGGCCAGATGAACGATCTGGCTTGAAGAAAGGTCAAAGACCTGTGCATCTCTAATCAGCTGTTTACAACAGTTGTGTACATACCAGATAACCCACAATGATATGTGTGTAGTGAGAACTGTGTTTGTAAACACCTCAGGACAAGGAAATGGAATGAAACAAATCCATGTAGCGAATGTTGTACATCAATGTAGGAATTGTACTACATTTATGTAGCAACTGTAGTAAATCATTGTAGAAATTTTAGCAAGTCATTGTAGCAACGGTAGTACATATATGTAGTAACTGTAGTACCCCTATACAACTGTAGCACACCTATATAACAATTGAAGTACATGATTGTAGCAACTGTAATACTGACTGACTGACTGAGTTTGGTTTTACGCCGCTTTTAGCAATATTCCAGCTACATCACGGCGGGGGAACACCAGAAATGGGCTTCACACATTGTACCCATGTGGGGATTCGAACCCGGGTCTTCAGCGTGACGAGCCAACGCTTTAACCACTAGGCTACCCCACCGCCCCGCAACTGTAATACATATATTTGTAGTAACTGTAGTGCATAAATGTAGCAACTGCAGTACACCTATGTAGCAATTGTAGAACATAATTGTAGCAATTGTAGTAAACCCACATGGCAATTGTAATAAATCATTTTATTACTCACCCATTGAAGATATCACTGTTTAATAAATCTACAATGTTACTACACATTGTGTAATAACATCGCGTGATGCCGGACGTATGACGTCATAATTGTTTACATGACGTCACAATGCTAATACCTCCGTCACAATGGTATCAGACTTGGCTTGGCTCGCGGAAAGATGACTCGAGTCATCACACCCTAGGCAGTTTCGATCAATTTATGTTGGAGAGTATTAACAGAATAGTAAACTCGCTTCTGTGAAATACCATGTTTATGAAACTCGTGAATGAGTTAGTATCAAACGAGCGAAAGCGCTTTTGATACCAATTCATTAACTCGTTTAATTAAAATGGTATTACACGGAAGATCATTTAGTATCCTCTATGTAACAACTTTGATTGTCATTCTAGAAGTTGGGTAGATGATGCATGAGGACTATTTATTATGGATATACATCTTCTTTATTCTGTATAGGCGGACGTCCCGTCATAGATTCTAATGTTGTTGTCAACATTTCGACATTGATTCTAATGTAGTTTGACGGCATTAGAATCTATATCGAAACATCGCCTATACAGAATAAAGAAGTTGTATATCCATAAAAATTAGTCCTCATTCTGCAGTACACCTACATGAGTATGTAGTGAATTTTTAGTTTAACGCCACTTTTAGCAATATTCCAGCAATATCATGGCGGGAGACACAAAAGATGGCCTTCACACTTTGTACCCATGTGGTGAATTGAACCCGGGTCTTCAGTGTGACTACCAAACACTTTAACCACCAGGCTACATGACCCCTGCCATACACCTATATAGCAACTGTAGTAGATGTATGTAGCAAATGAGTACACCTATGTAGCAAGTGTAGTAGAATGCGAACACAGCAAATGACTACTAACACACCCACACAGCAACTGCAGTACACACATGTAGCAACTGTGATACATGCATGCAACATCTATGGTACATCATTGAAGCAGCTGTAGTAACTTCATGTAGCAACTGCAGTTCTTAAA